TAGTACACAGTGTAAGTCAACGTAAAGTGTGAAAGATAGTGATGGATTGTGAGAAACTTGGATTGAAATATCGGTGGGCAATAGGAATACAGATACATTCTGTTCTCAGAAGAAGAAACTGTTACTAGAAGTTGATGGTCGATAAGCTCGAAGGGAAGCGAAAATGTGTATTAGATATTCAGAAACGATCATTTGAATGACGAAATCAGAATTGATCATAAGAAGAAATTAGTTTTCAAAGCAAATGCATGCAGCGTTTCCCTTTAAACATTTAGAGAATAAAGGATCAAAATATTTCTATTCAAACTGATGATTGAAAATAGCTATCGTATCTACAGTTGCATAAAATAAAATTTCTTCAACATTGAGCTGTAGAAAACGAATAACACGCAAATTGATTAAACTCTTAAACAATCATGACGGGTGTGGGCGTCGGTGTGAAAGTCGTTGTCGGTGTAAGTTTGATGATGCAATGAACCTTCCACTAGGTTCACCCATAGTCACATCCACAGGCACCCACACTCTAATTTGTTAGAAAATGACTGTTTGAAGTGATTTCAGAGAAAAGTTCAATGCAAAGCATCGATTTATACACAAGAACGTTTTTTTTACTACTTTTTGCTTTTTATACGGTTTTGTTTTTATTTGATTATGGAAAACTACGTGCTGCACTTACTTTTTTCATGTTTACAACATGTTTTATGCGTGTAGAATAATGTCACAACTCAATTTTTTAATGAAAATATCCTTTAATATAAATTAGTGGCAGGAACTTATTAGTATAACAGTAGAGAGCAAGTTTACATGAACACAACCACTTTTATCATTGATATAGTGAAGAATAATAATCGCCCATAAAAATCACGATTTATCACAAAAGTAGTCAGAATCATCGGAATAAATTGACGAGATATCTTGTTTCCGCTCGCGATTATCGTTCCGATATATCGCAATTTCGACGACATGGGAAGTCTATCGATTATCCATGTCCTATTCCAATTCTTTTACATGTTAAAATGATTGAATCAACAACAAAAAAGTTCATTTTGCTTCATCGTGCCAAGACATTTTCAACGCTTTCCATTAGTTAATCATATTCAACTACAGGTGTCGTGCGATTCTTGTGTATTTGTTATTTAGAACATTTCTACAGCGTCCAGAAGACTTATCTTATGTTAACATTTCTTATAGTCAAGATACATTAATCGATCATCCATTTTCTCGCCATTATATTATTCAAAAGCGCTGCCAAACGTTTCGTAATATTATTCTGGATGAACGTATGATCAGTGTTTACAAATAATGAAGAATATATTTAAATTTGATTGTTATGAACTTCTTTTTGTATAAATATTTCTTGTCCTTACAACAATCAAATACTAATCAAATAAAAATAGGCCATGGTGATAATAAGAAGTGAAGAAATAATGTTTTATAACTTGTCCTATGATAACTTAGAACAAGTAATATAGAAAAATATTTATGATTTATTTGAGTTCGTAATGCTTAATAGATGTGTTGTACCTTCATAAAACATGACAAGTTTTATCTTTTCTCATTTGCAATCATTATTTAAAATATCTGAAAGTAGGTTACCGCTTTATTTGTAATTGTCTTGAAAAAGTGACGAAATAGCGTTACTTTTCATCGAAGGAGTTTTTTCATTCTTCAGCTACTATTGCCGATACGAAGAGTAAAGGAGACACTGCTCGGTTTAGAAATAGACTTCCTATTTTTTTTAACATCACCGTATCTTTATAAAGTTGTATGAGACTAACAAGAAGCAAACATTTCATATTAAAACGAATACTTGTTTGTCATCTATGCAGTAAGAACATCATCTGAGACCAGCTAGCCTTTAAGAGTTTATGATAAGCGATATCAAGTATTCGAGAAGTAAGCATAAAATTTTGAGATAGAACATCTCTAATATATGAACACAGCATAAGTTTTGAATAAGTGAGTAACTTGATTGATTCAAACAACGATGGAAGTACTTTTCTGCTTCATCGAATTTGCCCCTGTCTGCTGGTACATTACTAAGGTGTGGGATCTGGGATGTGGGGTGTGATTTGCGGATATTATGTGAATATCGATAAAGTTCTTTCTAACAGTTACACTCACACTTCTTTGTCTACTGATACCAAAGGGATATGGATATAATTATTTTTAGCTATTGTCATTCTTATCTTGTCCGTCGATGATGACAGATAATAGAAAAAATACGACAATGTTACACTTAAAATATGTTTCTTTTTTCCTGATTAAATATTTACATTTCTTTAACGCTTATAGAAGCTTTCTTCCTAATGAGCAAATGATAAGAGTTGAAATAGTAACTATCTACTATTCAATGATCCAAAAACCTGAATTCTTCGCCGTTTATTCAAAAATAGGTTAGAAACCTTTTAACGCTTCTATTCTTTATTCAAATTTATATTGAATCCAGAAGTAAGATGTATTTAACCTTGAAATCTCCATTGAAATTAATTTTATGAAAGCACAACTTATTTCATCGAATGTAAGTTTATGTAATATACATACAACTAAACTCTTTCCATGATTATCAAGCAGCTTACTTTCAATTTCAAATCGAATCCGTATCGATGTGAAGACCAGTTTAAGTTTTAGAATGAGAAAATCTCTTGATATTTTAAAACTTTAGATAGACAAAGGATATAGATCTCGAATCATCACAGCCAGATAGATTCAATAATGAAATACTGCTTGAGACATGAGTGTAGGGGTAAATGTTAGATAGGATTCCATCCACATTCATGGACACATCTGTGGAATGTAAAAGGTTCCGTGTTTTGTGTACGTAGCTGTTATGAGTTTGATATGAAACCAAAACTGATTCTGAGTTAGTCTCTACAAGAAGCATCTTATTAGATTTCGTTAAAAAGTCAATGCTTTTTTTAGAAAGTATACAGCGAGCACCTTTTGAATATTCATGTTGTTGCTAATTCATCTTTTTAAGAAATGCATTCTGTCGCAAAATTGAATTTCTAATATAGAGACTGTGCCAAAAGTCTGGTGTAAAAAAATCACGAATACAGAATCATTAGACAAGAATATTTAAATGAAATTCGGTTGATAAAGAAGTTGAATCACTCTTAAAAGGTTTTGAAAGTTTCGTTCAAAAGTGATGAGTTAAAGGGATTTGCATCATTTTATTCATCTTGATAGTTTTATTTCATGCATCCGAAATAAAACTTCATGAGATATCCTATGAAATCACAAAAGTCTGATGTAAACCGCTTGAATTGTTGAAGAGCTATGAACACTTTTCACGCTAGACTTTGGGAGTATCCTATATCAGCATCACATAGACAATCAAACTTCATGCTTTTTAATATCATCAATCGACTTAATCTATCTTCTATGAAGTAAGATAATACACAACAGATTAATCCATTGTATGTTTTCAAAAAGCCTATAGATAATAATCCTTTTTGTTGAGAGCCAGTTTGTTTGAATGTTATTTGGTTGCTGGTTTAACTACTTAGTGAATCGTAGTCTTAACGTTTCTAGATATGTTTGTTTATATGCGCTTTCCTCCGCCTTCAGACGGGGTTGATCATAAAGTAACCATATTTGAATATGCCTGTCGTTGTGGGTAACTATTCGATTCGAATGATGTTGGAAAAGTTCTTTCCAACTCAGTTCTGATACACAGTTCACTATCGTTGATGACTTCAACTAAAGACAAAATAAAATATTTGTTCATGTTATTGATCATATTATACAATGTGCAAACACTGTTTTGATATTGAAGAAACATCATATTCATTCACTAAATCGAATAGATGCCTATCTATATATTTATCGTTGAATTCAAGAGTACATTAATAGGGCAAATATGGACGACAAGGTAACTATAACAGCGTAAATAGAATTTTTTTCATTTATTGATCTATACATTCGAACAAATGAAAGGTCAACAAATAATGACTTACCTAAGGTTAAACAAACTTTTTGTTTTAGGCAAACTATCAATGCAAGTTTTCAAAGTTATTAATGATCGTCGTTGTCATCTTCAATGAATCAACATAGTATCCAAATTAAAGATAACGAATTTTTCTCTAGATCAATTTATTCAACCGTATCAAAATAATAAAGAAGTATTTATAGAATTTCCATTCGATACACCAGTGTTTATTAATCTTATTCAAATGTATCCTTCAAAGTATGCGAAAGAATCAACATTTTAAACATTTGTTCAATGAAATTACGCGTTAGAGCTTGACTCGACACGATTTTTTGAACAATTCCACTCGACAGTCAATCATAGTATTAAAAACTGATTGTATGAAATGAAAGATATTGTTGAACTCTTTACATGAATCAAATCGCAAGATCAACTATTTTGCCCATACTTTTATCATTATACCTCAAATATAAACACAGATGATTACGATAAAAATTTGTCAGTTAATGTTGTAACATTTCTATGATATACAATCAATATTCGTATCAACTCTTGAAAACTGAGTGCATAGATCTTTTACAAGTTGGCCTGGAAATATCTTCCACAAATCTTTTAGAAAGATGTTCATGTTTATTTTTTGTTTGTACGCACAAAGCTCTATTTCAAGCCTTGAAAAGTTTTGATGAGAAACTGTGAAAAATATGCCGCAAAGAAAATTATTAAGAATGAATGGCCAAAAGATTTATTCATTATTGATATTTCAATTTGGCTAAAATTAGATCAAGAAACTTATAAATATTTATGTGAGAACCATATGAATAATCCTTGGACTGTCTACGTTTGATCAACTATTGTACAGTTAAGTCTTTTCAAAAATGTTAAATGATAATCATACAAAAATTCTCTTTAAAATTAATAATTGGATGAAACAACATTAAACATGATATTTATAATCTAACAGATATTTTCAGCATTATTTTTGTTCATAAAGTATTTCAACTAGTGCTTGCGAAACATTCCAAATGAGGTGTTATGGAATGTTGACACGATTATGAATTTTATTATATCTATGCGTGAAATTACATTTATCAAAATAAATATTGATGAAATAACAATTTTATCGAGATTACCGAGTAAGTTTATTGCAATATGACAATCTTGCTTTGTGATTGTTTTATTCATATTCTATTCTTTACCTATATTTTCTGATCCTTTTATGCTGCACTTTACCCGACTTGAGCGCATCGGGTTCAAAAGTTTTGTACCCGAACTCGGTCTGTACATGGAATATTCTTAATAACACTACTTATTTTTCAGAACATCTGGACGATAATTGTATAAGAATGTAGTTCTTTGAAAACATGTCGGAATTCATATCGGCTTTCTGAGTTTATCGAACTTGGGCGTTCAAGCGCAGTTGTGGGCTCAAGAATATTTGAAAACTTTGCGAAACAGTCCTAATAGTGGGATAATGTGGGTCTCTTGGGCAAACTCAATCACCACTGGTTTCTCTCTTTTATAACATATGTCTGAAAATATTATTCTGGATTCTATTTGTTTTGGTGATTATTTTTTGTACTGGATGCTTTTCCACTATATTCTGTTTTTTGAGTGCAGATATCAGTTTTGAACTTATAATGGATTTCCAATTATTACTAATGTTTTAGAATTATCGAATTACTTTCTTTCTAACGGTAAAATCTGCAGGCTTTTGGCTTGTTTCTAGACCGAATGACAAAGACACTTTGGGATCTATTTTCGAAGTTTTTCCAACTTTGTAACTCGAAAGTGTTTATTTTTTGGCTGACATAATTTGACCGAGGAAGCCGATCTTGAATTTTTATGAAAATGACTGTTATAAATACTATATAGACAATTTAAGACTGATTTTCTCGGTTAAGTCGTATTAATCATAAACAAAAGTTTCAGGTATGATCATGCTAGGTGTACTAATGAAGATACATCATAGAACTACTGTTGAAAACTCCGTGGTTTAGCTTAAGGATAGTGCAATGTTGGTAAAACTGTGAAAATAGGTTCCCAAGATATCTTTGCCATTCTGTTCGGGGAACAAGATACAGGTCGGTGAGTCCTTACCATTAGATAGCGAGTAGTTCGACAATTCTAAAGTACTACTATAAATTGAGTCTCCCAGTAATGTCAAAAGACCGTGTTTTTCTGTAGCAATTTTCCAAAACACAGAACACAATGACCAAAAACCTCCGCAAAAAAAATTACCATCTCAATCAGAAGTATTTATAATAAAATTATCAGATTCCTATTATTTGAAACAGAGAAATAGCTAAGGTGCGCTCTGTCTGGCACACTTCAGATTGCCCCAAATTTCAACCCTTGACAAGGTTTTTTACATTTTCTTACTCTGGTACGCTTTCGAAAGAATCACCATATTACTTTTAGAGTAGACACTGTCGGGTCAGACTCACAAAAGAAATTGGTCTCTAGAAAATTTGTAGACTCTGATCCAGTGGGCTCTATTACCGGGTTTTTGCCCCTATCAACAAGTACCGATGGTTAAATCATTTTCCCATATAACACATATTATATCGAATGGTCTTCTGATGATTTTTGCTTCGTTTGAACTACATGGATTTTTATTAAGTTAGGTTTTATGTTTAGGCAAATGCTCATTATATCGTGACTTGTTGACTGATTCAGTCATTCGTTGTTGTGTTCCATTGAAGAATCTTTTGATCGATTTATTGATATTGTTCAACACATTATTGATTGGTTCAAAGTTCATAATGTTAATCATTCGAATCAATTATTAATTAATTTATTAAGAACATATGATGATCCTAAGATGACTTTAATTGAAACGAGAATAATTTTTGATGCCGTTTTGAAACTTTTACAACCACTTAAAGATCTTCGATGTCTTCCTCACCGATTCAATTGTTTAATTCCATTTCAAATTCTTAATCCAGGAACGTTAGATGCTCAAGGTAATACGATGAAATTTCTTACAGAATTAAAAACGTTTTCAACCAAACAATACATTTACAGTAGACGATAAAAGACTTCATGAACAGAATATTTCTATAAACGATCGTCCACAAGCTCAATAGTGATTGGCTAGTAAAAATCATTCATGTGATATTACTTTTCAATATCGAAGTTAAAGAACGAATCATCAGCATAAAAAACTATTTCAGAAAGGAAATGCTTCTATTCATAAAACTGTACTTCATGGTCATTTGACAGCCAACGTAATAGTCAATTACTAATTACTATTCATAATACAAATAGTCAAATTCCTCGAATTATTTGGAGTAGTGCAAATTTATCATTATTATAGTCATATATTAAACGTTATTGTGGAATGTATTGAAAAATTCGATCTTTTATCATGAGATAATGAAGAAATAAAAATTACTCATTTAAAACATTCAGGTGGTAATGAAATGTTGTTCATTGAGAGAAATAACTCAAGCTTATAGAATTTTACACGCATGTTTTAAAACTTTAACTTATCAACATTTACAATTAATAAAAAAAGTAGTCAAACGTTCAAATGTTATTCATACGATGAAAAACGCTGATCTTTATTCTCAGCATTGTTGACGTCCTTTTCAAGAATTACGAGACAATATAACGACACAATTTCAATTACAAGAATTAAATAACATGATAATAAATTCATAGATTATAACACATACATTAATTGAATCATTTATGTTTCAAGGAAAACTTTCGATGATTTTGTTCTTCGTATTGCACAATTAACGAAGTTAGAAGGAAGTTCACTAAATCATATCCAAAGTAAGCTTCAGTCATAAGTAGAAGTCTAAGTAGATACCTTAATCGATGTCTGAAGTCATTTAATGATCTTGTCGAAATTTCTCTCACAATTTGGGAACTTTTATAATAGAAAAGACAACAATAGTACTAGAGAAAAACTAGTGCACTTTGCAATTTTTCGAACAATTTGAGAACGATAGCATCTTGAGACCCGCGACATTCGTCATTCAATAGGGAAGATCCAGAGCCATCAAATTCTGTCGAAATTTCAATAGTCAATGACTGATCAATCAGATTATTTCTTGACAGAAATTTTTCAAAACGGTATTCTAAAGTTATTTTCTTTTAGATTCAGACTTTTAAAATTATTACTCGATAGGAAATATTCACCTCTTTTCATCAATGCCAACGCGGCATTCCTAGCAACCTTCATTCGAGAATTATAAGGATTTTCTGAAATCCTTCGAACTCAGTTATCTCACCTGTGATCACACGAAAAAACAGAAATATTGAGATAGCAGCATTAGATTAAATCAAACCTACAATTAAATTTTACTATTCGACTGAGCTTGTTGAATTACCGAGTCTAGCCGTTTTTCAGAATGATCACGGATCAGATGACTGAAATCGAGGTATTCCAAAAGGATACATTAGAAGAACCCGAAAAATTGATTCTAGGTATCTGATAGATTTATGTGGCGATCGGTAACTTACGTCATTGGTTGTAAGATATCAATTCACGAAATAAATCTTATAATTCAAAAGAGACTTCTAGAAGCCACTGTGATCCACATTTCCTTCTGATTATCAATTTGAATACATGAAAACTTGAAAATATCAATGAAATCATTTTTTTTTTCTAGTAATTAATGATAATATGCAACTTGTAACAATGTGATTAGCAGCAGAAGAAACGACAGTATTAGACAATGCTTTGATTACTATGGAACATTTATTTAAAAATGAAATTGTTAATTTTCATTTATGATGTTTAACAAGACAACAATCATATTATGGAATTGGTTATTCAATTGATAGTATTCAAGTTGGAATAAAAAAAGTAAGAAATGAAAATGACCCGAACCAGCAAGGTAAAGAGAACGATAGAATTGAAGCGAAAAAAAACGTCAATTTCAATTATCAATGTTGGATGTTGATGATCATAAACGTCAATTACCATTTTGAAATGTTGATATTCAACAAAATTTAATCTATAAAAACCTATTTTATTAATGGACTATTGAAATAATTAAAAACGGTTGAGAATATCTATCATATGTTTACTAGGTTACAATTAGGTGAATATCCTGATTATCAATCACAGATACACATAACGAACTACATCTCCAAGAAAGTAAGAGCTTATTTTCAGATCAACAATAAAATTTGTTTTTGAAATTTCTTTTCAGTTCAAGCTGGCTCTATTATGTTAAACGATTTACGAAGTCATCAAAATGCTCGACTAAAAAATGCTATTCAGACTCGAATTCAAAGTTTAGAATTAATATATAAACTTTGAAAACTACGTATGATATATGGATACAAAATTTAAAGAAATATCGTCAAGAATGCTCATTATTGAAATTATGATTTTATAATCTTCTTCAACGTTATTAAAAATAATTTTTGATCAGTAGTAATCGTCTTCCACTGATTCTCAAATCAAATATCTTTTGCACATGATATCGATCTCGATACCTGTTGTATTGTTTTGAATATCTTCCATAATAAATTAGCAGCCTCCTATCAGATTCTTTGGTGTTTGAATACCACAGAAGATATTCATTTATTTTTTTCTCTTATACGAACATTTACTTCTCTGACTTTTTCGCTTTAAGAAAAACTTGTCGTTTCAGCAAAGAATATAAGACTGATCCTACGGGGTCTTTTAGTATAAATGATAAATTAAATCTTTCATTTAATTCGAATATAATTGACAATAATCCATCGATCTTTCTCAATACATCCGTTTATGCACCATTCGAAACTATATAATCGAACATTGTTCCCCCTTTTCATTGGTGGATGTTCAAACGATCTAACCGTCAGTGTTCGAGAAAATTTCAATCAAATTTTGTCAATTCTTTCCATTATTTCAGCATCAACATTAGAAGAAGCCACTGACAAGAATTATCAATTATCTATTAATAAAGAAGACCAACTTGTAGCTTGATTTTGAAAAACATTTAAAGATCAAACAATTGATCGTATGGTTACAATGACAAAGACTGGTCATAAGATACCTATTAATTTTGAACCAATAACGAATACTGATGCATGTCGTATATAGATATATATATAATTGTATTCAAAAATATGCTCGAGAATTACCAAGAAATAAAATCTATGAACTTTCATTTACAAAATTTTTATATCCTGATATACGTTTCTTTGAAGAACCTTACTTCTGTTGGAATCAACATGTTCAAAATTTAGGTACTATTGCTATGCAACAAATGATTAATGAAGCAAAATCTTTAACACAAATATAAACTTTCTCATGCATATAAACGAAAATTAATAAAATTAGCTTTAATTATTGAAAATGATACTGTTGTGAACGAAAAATATTTCTTTTGAAACTATTCATTATTATAAAATTCGAAAACTACGAGTGGTACTCTTCAAGGATATGCTATTCCAAAACATTCCTTCAACGAATCAAATCAAAAATTTTAGAAAATGATGATGACGATGAAGCTGAACTTCTTAATCAACGATCAATCCAAGTATCAGCTCTAGCTGCTTCAGCACAACAACAACAAAATAATGAACCGATAGATGATGTTCCATTAAAAGAAATCAAACAGTTTTATATCAGATTGGGAAAACAATTCTAAGCGTTTCAACTGAAAATGCTACGACTTCACAGGCAACTTTGATTAAAAGTAGTTGTCGACTATAAGAGTTACTTCAAGACATTTCTTCTTCTGATGCTGAAATATTCATTGAAATATTCAAAGAATATTTATTTAATAGTCAAATAAAAGCCTTATTCTATTATCTTCTTTTACATCCTGATGTTACTGAAAAGTAACAATTAGTTCAGTTTGTGTCTCTGATTTCTCAATTAGTTTGTGACTTACCAGAAATAGAAATCGTTATTTTCTTTGATAAAGCATATACAGCTTCGTATCTTGGTCTATTCAAAGAAATATTCATGGATGGAACATTACGTGGTACAAGTATTTTGAAAAATATCTTCTTTACTGTTGTTACTAATCCATTTATGAAAATAGAAGAAAATACAGAACAAGTTCATTGTACTGATCATATTGTTCAAAAAATAGCCATGTTTCAAGTTAATTCATTAGCTAAAAGTGATACAACGACGCCATTAGAAATTTGTGTTCAAGAAACAAACATTAGCTGATTCAATTTTGAAAGTGCAAGAATTTTGTGAAAAAAAATCTTGGTATTGTTTTAAGAAGTTTATAAGTTGTATTTTGTATTTTTATTTGATTGAAAAGCTTATTTTCTTAATCCTATTCGATGCATTGCTTTATCAATTGCTTTAACCTATTATTTTCGGCTTCCAACAAAAGAAAATAATTTACAACGTAATGATAAAAAATTACCAGCACGAGAACAATTAACTAAACTTCTTGGTCAAGCTATACCAAACTTTGATTATATCGTTCAAAATGAACTCGAACGATTTGTGAATTTATCGTTCGTTACCATCTGAAGATAATCAGAAAATCTTAGCTTATGGTTATTTGAGTTTGCAATCAGAGCAACGACAATCATCTCCAGATGATCGTCTTGGTAAGATTATTTATGGTTTATGTCAAGGACACTGACGAGTTCTTCGTTCACCAGATTTACCTCATATATTTTATGATCATGATTGTATTTATATGTTGAAAGAATAACGATTGGAGTTGATGAATCCAAATGAAGTTGAACAAATTAGTATCAGAGAAATAACACAACGAAGTTTATTGCGAATGTTAGATGATAATTTTACTGGAGTTCGAATCGAAGAGTTCAACAAATTAGTCAATATTTTTGCTACAACTGTTGCAGAACTGTTCACATAATACATCATCATTTGTTCTTGATTTTTTTACCTTTCTCCTCAATTCATAGGTATTCAAGGAATCCGAACTTCAGCTTGAAAACTACACAACAATTGCAGTTCGTGTCGAATATCCAAATAGCTATTCAAACACTTCTTGAAAAATATAAGGAATTATGGAAGTAATCGTAGTTTCGATAAATTTGGTTCAGACTTACATATTTCTAAAAATCATGAACCTATTTTGAGGAACTTACTTCCTTTTAGATTTTTGGACTCCGCACTCTATTGTCAGAACACCTTTTACGATCAAACGTGAAAACTTTGTGAGGGAGAAGTTCACCACTCACACCCTATGTGAACAGATACATGGAGAATAATGTCTTGAATTTCGATCACTAATTACCGAAAAACAACAGTTTTAACGTAATATTCCAACAACTTTACGTAATTCAATGAAATAAGATCTAATTCGTCGTCATCTTTAGAAAGTGCTGTACGTCTTTCCTTTCAATGTAGCATTCTTAGTTCTGATTCAAGTCAAACAACAGTTTTTCATATATCAGACAAAACTATCTTAATGATTAATACAGATCGTATCCATGATTCACTCTATGTTGTTTTTAATCAGAATTATTTTCAATTATTGCTACTGAACAAAATAGAAAAATCTCTTCCAAAGTAGCGATTAGTCCAAAAACAATCACTGTCGTCGTACATGAAGAGTTTCAATGCATTATTTGTATAAAACGAAGTGAATTTTAAGATATTCCAGCACTATTTCTAAGTCGTTTACAAAAATATTCTTTTAGTATATCAGATTTTTCTTCAATACAATTACCAGAAATTCAGATCGAAGAACATGAATTCCTGCGAAATATAGAAACAAAAGCTAGATCATTTATTGATCACTTTGGAAAAGAATATTTCTATGGATTTAATAATGAAACATTATATTCATATCTTCTATT